TTTAATTTTATGTCTTATAGAGTTTATAATGAGTAAAAGATTATATAAGCATAATAATTCATCTGTAAACCTAGAAGTGTACAGCCAATTTTGAAAGAGATGTACAGTAGCTCAGAAAAATGGTATTGAATAGGTTAATGCTGTTGTAATGAAATGCTTGTTCTAATTAAAAAAAAAAAGGTTTCTAAAGAAAAAAATATAAAAATACTAAATAAAAAAAAATTGAGTGAAGGCTGGAGAGGAGGCTCAGTGGTTAAGACCGCTGGCTCCTCTTGCAGAAGACCCAAATTAAGCTCCCAACACTTATATGGAAACTAGCAATGATCTGTAACTCATTTCAGGGGATTTGACACTCCCTTATAGCCTCTGCAGGCATTGTATGAAATGGCTACACTTACATACATGAAGGCAAAACACTCAGACACATAAAAACAAATTTAAATTTTTAAAAAAATTTTGAATGAAAATACAAAGAACTTAACATTGAGTTTTGTTTAGCTTATGTTAGGTAAAATTTCCTAGAAGTAGATCTTAAAGTGGTTTTCTTTGGCAAGTGGTCTATTGAGAGGTTTTTTTAAGAAACTGAAGTAAGTGTATAAATAGAAAAGAAGGAAGCTGGATAAAGGTGAAGCTTTCCAAAGTCTGACACCAGGCTGGTCCCACAGGAAGCTCAGCTACATGAACTGAATCTCACAGACAATTCTAACTATGGGCAAGAGGATGGAGACATCATACCTCCATGGTAGGCAGTCATCTGCAATGGCCATCCCAGCCATCTCCAGCCTGGTTGGCTCTCTCTAGCAGTCAGTCTCCAGAAACATGTGCAGCTATGAGCTCTCAGCACCTAACACTCTCTGAAACCAGAGTTGAAGCACCATCCTAGTAAAGGGGATTTGGTCAGAATGCAAAAGGTTCTCCCCTCTTCACAGGCCACTTAAATGCATCCCGTTATCTGTTGGCGTCATCATTACCATGATGCTGTCATGATTACTGTTTGATGTAAGACCTACCTTTCTTCTCTAAAGTAGTCCATAATATTCCAAACTCACTAAAATAGCAACAAACTGAGGATGTGAAATAAATGTAAATAGCCAGTAGCTGATCGTGACCTATAGGAAGCATAAAGCAAGGCATCTGCCAGAGTAGTTTTTCTTCTGAATCATTTTATTTACAGGCTACTACTGCTGTGACAAAGGGTTATTTTTAGAAAACAAATTAGAGGGTAGCTTGTCCTTCAAGACTTATGTGATGACAAAGATTTATCTTACCAGTTACAATTCAGTAAAATTCATCTTTGTTTCATAGGATCCAGCCCAGAAGTGCAATCCCAGTTTGTAAACTTCAGAGCATTACATAGAATTTTACTGGAATAATTTTATCACTGAAGTCCTGTAATTTAGACAATTTTTAGTTTTTGAAAACTTTCAAGCAGTCTATAAATGATTATTTCCAGTGTTCCCTTTCCCAAATACTCAGAAACACTTTATCACTCTATGTAAAAATTATTTTACTGGCATATATTCACTGTACGTAGGCATGGGTTTTGTAAAGACATTTTCATTCATGATATCATATACGTTGATCACATTCACTCCTCAGACCCTCTCATCCCTACCCCTTCCCATTCATCCTCTCTCCAGCTTGCTAGTCTTTCCTTACCAAACTCCTACCCCATCTCCTACCTGCTTTCATGGTTTTATGTATTAGTTATTTTTCTCATTGCTGTGACAAAACACCCAACAAAAACAGCTTACTAAGGGAATGGTTTATTTTGGCCCACAGTTTGAGAAGACAAGGCTATCATCATGCAGGAGATGGCAGCAGGCAGCTCCATTGTGGCAGGAGTGTGCAACAGGAACTTCTCACTTCCTGGTGGAACAGGAAGCAGAGAGTGGACAGAAGTACGAATGAATTATAAAGCCTAAAGCTGCCCCCTCCCCGACATCCTCAGTGACTCACCTTCTCCAGCAGGCTTCTGCCTTCTAAAGGCTCCACACGCTTCCAAAACTCCATCACCAGCTGAGGATCAGTTGTTCAAACATATGAGCCTATGTGGGACATTTTGTATTCACATTCTAACAGTATATACTTGCTCTTGTACCAAATTTGTTCAGAGTTAAATTAATTAGACATATTGGCTTTCATTCTTCAACTGTTTTGTTTTATTTTACTTTACCCTATAGGATATTTAGAGGGCACAAAGACTAATATTGAAATAGATGAACTAATTTGCAGTCTTGATACTGCATCCATGCCTCGGTATTATACTGAAGATAAAACAAAAGATGGTATGGGCTGGAGAGATGGCTCAGCTGTTAAGAGCAATGGGTGCTCTTGCAGAGGACCAGGGTACAAATCCCAGCACCCACATAGCAGCTAACAACTGTCCGTAACTCCAGTTCCAGGGGATCTGACACGCCCTTCTGACCTCTGACACAGGTGCACTTATATACATGCAGGCAATACACTCATACATGTAAAAAACATTTTTACAATAAAATATTTTTTAAAAAAGATAATATGGAAGTAACATAATTAACAGCTGGCTTTGAATCTTAATCTACTGACTGGTGGAGAAATTGTCTTCCCTTCTGAAATGTGTAGGAAGCAGAGACTTCTTCACCACAAGCCAGTAAAGCATGAATTACAGTGTCCTTCCATTGCTTCTGTCCTGGGAGGGGCCCTGGGTTGTTTTTACAGTTTTCTGTTTCTGTAAATTTTTCAAAAGCAGTTCATTTCAGATCCCTTTACTTAAATCCCCCAAACTATGGCCTTTGTATCTTAGAAAACCAAAATACTACCATGTTTACCCTTGCCAAAACATCTTTCTGCCTAAATAGTGAAGCTGTTAAGTGATGAGTTGATTCTCTAGTCACCAGAAGTGCACACATGTTCAGAGACCAGGCAGAAAGTGGTCTCATTCACTGCTCACTCCTGTGACTACAATGTCTGTTTTGAAATGCTTCTCAGTGAAGCTGTTAAGTGATGAGTTGAGTTGATTCTCTAGTCACCAGAAGTGCACACATGTTCAGAGACCAGGCAAAAAGTGCTCTCATTCACTGCTCACTCCTGTGACTACAATGTCTGTTTTGAAATGCTTCTTCTATTGGTAGTCTGTTATTGTAACTCTATACCTGGATCTGCACATGCCATTTAAAATTAAAAGGCTACAGCATTTCAGCTCCAATCATAAGGTTGCCAATTGAGGTATCATTTGTCTCTGCACAAAAATCAAAAATCA